TGTTTCTGAGGGATGTGAAAGAAAGAAACAGACCTACTTTGTGCAGCCCTTATAAAATTAAGGTGCCTGGGACCCTTCACCAGTCAATGGTCTGAGATTATCAGTCTAAAAGTAGCCTGTGCATGAAATTTTTTTCATTTGAATGTGGAAAAATGAATTCTTCATAGTTATTTGTTTCTAAATAAGCCAGCAGTGCCTGATTTGGTGATTGCCTGGGGATATGGATGCAGCCTAATTTAGTAATAACTTCTATACGTCTCTGCTCAATGAACAAATAAACTACTCTTGCATGACAACTAAACACTGCAGCAACACTGGTAGCTTTAATTAGAATTTATGGACAGCATTGCTACGAAAAGACAAAAATCAGAGTTAAAAATGCAACTGTGACAGTACCCTGCAGAGCTAAATATATCCCTGCTTAAAAATCAAGGAAAACAGACTTTTGAATTTGTATCTGAATACAATGCACTGTGAAAGGCTTTGATCTTGTAGTGCTCTTTCATTCTGCCTTATTTTGCTGCACCTAGACAAAGGAAAATAAATTGCATAGTTATCCTGAAGAAATCTCCATTTCTATTCTTTGGATTTCTTGACTGTGTTCTTCTTGGCACAGGCATTTGCTTTCCTTATCTCTTCATGTTGATAACCTTTTAAGAGTCTATTTTGGTTTTCTACATACTTTCTAGTCTGGGATCTCTTTAAAGCATATAAACTTCTTTTACTTGCCCTTTCTCAGTTTTTCATAAAGCATTTTCAAGGAACAGGGCTAGATAAAATATACTATTATGTTCCACACTTCTTCAGGCGCCTGCATCCCACTGTTGTTTACAAGACAGATTTTGTGTATATCATGAAGCAGCCCCAGTCACCTCTTCACACCAAAACTTTGACAGGTGGAAGGTAAATTCATTTTTCATGGAATACACCAGTGGCCAATAAACTCCTAAGCAATGAAGGAAAACAAGTTTTGGCTTCCCCATGGAGCAATTTAAACATTGACTAAGAAAGGGCCACATAACCACGCCAAAAAACGCTTAGGCTAAAGCATCTTCCACCTGGATGCTAATCAAAGAACAGCCAAGGATGGAAGATTCAGAGGACCAAAAAGCACAACAACAGGAGTAGAGTGTGACACGGCAGTCTAGTGGGTCCATCACTCAACTGGGATAAATAATCCCTGTGTTTCAGTTCTCTACCTTAAGGCTGTTTCTGTACTTCACATGAAACAGCCACAACTGTATCAATTTGGGATAGCTTTTTTTTTTTCTGTAAGATGGCATAATGTGAATGGATATTTAACTACATTTTCCAAGGCTTTCGTTGCCATTCGAAATCCTTTACATTCAGATGTTCAATAACTTGACAGAGCCTTAAAACGTAAATGCTCTGTTTTTTAAATGTGTGCTATCAATATATACATGAAAGAAAAATTAAAAAGATGTTTTTGAAGCTAAGTATGCAAAATAAAACCTCAGGCTACAAAGCCTTTTATCCTCTAACATTTGAAAATGAATTTCAGAGTGATCACCAAATTCATTAGAGGCACAGAGATAATTAACATAACCTAATTAATTTCCTTCTTGTATTTGGCCTTTTGCTAAGCAGTTCAGTCCACACTAGATGGCACTCTCAGTCTAGATGGTTTCATCGTGATGCTTTTACTCCTCGAAGAGATGAAATTGAGAAGTATCTTTGGATTCAGGAGTGCGTTTTGAGCAAAATGGAAGTGGATGATGGGCTAAACTGGGAGGTGCTGACGTCTGTGCTGTGTTCAGGTCGTCTCTGCAGTGTTGCCATACTGTAGATACCATCAAGCAGACAAAAGTCTCATTCTGAGTTATGTGCAAGTAATACTGTGAACAAATGCTATAAAACCCAAGGGCAAATAAACAAAATAATCAGTGGCAAACTGTTTCCATCTTGAACTTCACAACATGGAAAACAAAAACGTGCCTTTGTGTGTCCCTTGCATTACAGAAAGAAGAACAGGATGAAGTAGTTGGTGAGCAAAGCCCAACACAAATACTTACAGACAAAATTTGATCTCCTCGCTGCAGTTCTCCACTGAGATCAGCAGGCCCGCCTGCCAGGATGAAAGACACGAAAATGCCTTCCCCATCTTCTCCTCCCACAATGTTAAAACCAAGTCCTGTGGAGCCCTTGTGTAGGATGATTTTTCGAGGTTCTCTGTATAGAAACAAAATGATAATTTTTATCCATTCAAAACTGTTACTGTGTACAGATCTCTCAAGGCATCTGAAGCATACTATATTTTGCTTAAGACACAACGGTCTGTTATTACCTAAAGAAATCATTTAACCATTGAGATAAATCTGTTAACTAGAGAACAGACTAGGTAGGAATTAACCAGTATTCTCTTGTTTATTTATTTTTTTCCCTTATGGCTGAATCCAAACAACTCTATTCATTCCAGTCCACTGGAGTCTTCTTCACTAATGATAGATTTATTGAAAGTAAAACCAAAACACTGAATATATTTTATAATCTTATTTATAGCAATACTGTATCTACAAGTAAAATAAGTATTTTTTTTTCTAGTTCTAATCTTGCTTTTTAAAAAAATGAAGAAAGAAAATGTTAAAAACTCAAGGCAAAGCAACAGCAAGTGTGTTTGATCCTGACAGATTTGGAGCAAATAACATGAAAAACTCCAGTCTTACATTATCAGGAGCTTGCAATTGTGAAGTCACATTGCAGCTTTATCACTGAACCAGACCAAGGGAGATCAGCTTTTGTGTTACTGGTTTAAAAAGTTGTTCATTATGGTGGAAATCAATAAATAATAACAGCTACATTTCATACAGCACTTTCTATCTGTAAATTGAAAATATGCCCCAAAGGATGTAAGCATAGCAACACACATTTTACTGATGGGAAAACTTATGTCTAGAAATTGATTACTTCCATAAGCAATCAAGAGTCATGAATGTATCCTTGAGAAAGTGTTCCAAGTATTCTGTTTTCCAGCTTCTAGTCTACATAGGAGGCCTCAGATCTAACTCTCCCTTGGATATACAAGCACAGACAACCATATACACATACACACCTCTGCCGTATTTATTGATACTTACCCCATTTCAAATTCCTCTAACAATTTACTTTTCATAAAAAGTGTAAATGCTGTTACACTAATATGTGTAAATCTTAAACCCAGCCCTGAAAACACCCACAAACACATAGATTTATGTGTCTGTGACTCCTTAGAGAGAAATGTGTTCTTCTAATTCTTAATTTTTACAAATAAAAGTTAGCAGCAAAATGACAATTGTAAACACACAAATTAAGTCTTATGGCTGTGTACATAGAGACTTAATCTTTACATGGTAATTCCAAAATCAGCAGGCGTTTGTTCATCTTTGCCCAGTGCTCATGTTCAAACTGTATCCCCAGCTTGATCATGGCCTTTAAATAATGTCTCAACTTTATGAAACTGAAGCTTCACAGTTTTGAAAGAAAAAAATAAAGCAATTTTAAAAATATTTTTAAAGGAGATTGTAACCTTTATGAAAGTATTAGTCCTACTCCACATTGCCCTCCATTTCATAACTTTTTGTTAACACTGTATAGTCAGAAAACAACCTTTTAAAAATATATCTGTGTGAAAAAGACATGTTGTCTTGAGTTTGTATATTCTTGAAGTATTTTTTAACCAATCAGAAAATAAAGGGTGTTTTTTTTTTTTTTCTTTTAGAACATTGTTATTGATTTGCCTTGTAGCAACACTTCTAGCACCTTCTTAAAAATGTGCAGATTGGACATAATGTAATCCAGATCTAAGAAGTCTAAACAGGTTTTTAATTAGGAAAGGTGGCCTGGGGGTTGGAGCAGAAGTAGGACAGCAAGCTGGAAGCATGGATTCCTTTTCCTGCTTAGCCCATGTGCTGCTGAGTGATCTTGGCAAGTTATTTGTTCTTTCAGCTTTGATTTCTTCACCCACAAGATGACACAGTGACATTTGTCATCTTCAAGACATACACATCAAAAATACTTTCCAAGAGCTGAGCTGCTCACATTATTATTTACCTCAATATGGAGGAAAATGAAGCAGTACAGTCAAACAAATACGCTTCCATGCTCTGTTGGTGAGAAATCAGAAAAGCTCTTATTCCAAGTGAAACTGAGTGTTTCCACACATGACAGGCAGCTTGGATCATAAAGTTGAAAGCCAGTGCTACAGGCAAAACTAGGTCAATACAACTGGGTATCCACTGAATAGTAAGCTATGCAGCTCAACAAAAAGTTGGCCCAGTTATTAATCCCTGTCTGTGATCAAGTCAGCAGATTTATGCCTAAAATGCTGTCAGTGCTATTTTGTAATTTCGACCTTTTGACAGCAAAATTCACATTCTGCTCTTGGATGATTATTTTCAGAGGAAGCTCAAAGAGTAAGGGGGAAATGTCAGAAGCCGTGATTAGAACACAATGGGTTTTGGCTCCTGCTCTTTAGCCTAATCAGATCATTTTGGTCATGGCTGAAATTTGGTTGTATAAAGACTGACCGACTCTAACATCTTCATTTTCTTTCCTGTCTAAGCATCGTGCAGAATCTGAAAGGTGGATTCAAGAACACACAAGTGGTGTTGTCATCATCAGAGAAATAACCTTCAGCCATGACTGTACTGCAAAAACTATAGGGAGTAGAAGGTATATGTCAATTCACTGTAACACAACAAATGACTAAGATTTTTTTAATATACCATAATTCACATTTGTATAGTGTATTTATTGTGAGAATAATAAAAAAAACCAAACAGCCCTTATGATGATAATGAATCTTTGTAGCCTGTTATGAAGTTAAAGTAGGAAAAAATTTCTTAAGCAAACAAACTACAATACCAGCCACTGACCAGGTGATCTCTAAGGAGTAATGCAGAAATGAGTTTTTGGCCAATACTTTACCAACACTCAAAGAAAAGGGTAGTTTGATAAAGCTGGAGATGAAGGTGTTAGATAATTTTTTCACCTGATATAAAAGTTTATAGTCAACTCTTTTAATATGATGGTTAAGGAGATGCACGAACAGGTGCTCAAATTTTTCTTCAATATCTCTGAAGCAACATTAGGAAACACTCCTTTGATGCTATTATAATTCTCTATGAATTTATTTCTAATACAAGTGAGAGAATTCTGGACAGACTGCAGCTAAATGCTCTAAAGGAGCAAATGGAGTCAAAGATTTAATGATGACATGGTGATGGGGAAGAAAGAAGAGGAACTCAAATGTAAATGGTATTTTCTTGTAGTAAATGCACTCAGTAAAAATGTGTGGTTCTCTGCAGAAATCTGCAACCAAGACAAAGGTGACTTCAGGGTAACTTATTTCAAAGGCTCATTGTTTTGTTTGAAGACAATAGGTGGCACTCTGCAGCTACCTGGGAAAGAGCAACAGTCTAACATCCAGTGTTTCTGAAATGAGTGCTTCTTCTTCCAGCTTTAGCTACTTATCCCATTTACAATTTCTTCTGTAATAAATATGGCTGAAGGTAAGTTTCTAGGTGCTAACAAAGCATACCAGCACTTTAATTCTGTGTGTGCATGTTTTATGCCCTACTGCAGCTTTGTACCAAATACAAACAGAGAAGAGCAGCAGGGGAAATCAAGCAGAAATTAGAAAGGAGTGTGAGACAAAAACATTTGTGGACTGACAGAAGGCAGAAGAAGGGGAAAAAGAAAAGAAAAGAAAGAAGAAAAGGAGGGGGGGAAAGAGAGAGAAAGAGGAGACAGTGCATCTGTAAAGGAGAACAGGGAAGGATTTAAAAACAGAGAGAAAGAAGAAGAATGAAGATTCACTACAACAGAGCCAGAAGCGAAGGAGCAAATAAAGTGCTGCAATCCACACAAATTTACAGGCTCAGAAATCAATGGGAGAATCAATTTGGATGGACCTGATTACTTGCTTCAGGGAATATATCAGATCGGATTCTGTAAAGCACATTATATATTACAGGCCTGATGTAAGACCAAAGTATTACTAGATTAATATTTGAAACTGATAAGTAGTAACAAGTCAGAGTGGGTAAAACTTCCACACTTAAGAAAATTTTTCCTATCATAAAAATGAGATTAACAAAAATAAATCAAAAAAGTGAGGCATTGTTCCTCCTTAACACTTGTTTTGGTTCATATTTGTTTTATTTATTATCTTGAAAATAGCTGGTTTGTATATACTACATTTGTACTGAATATTTGTTTTGATCACTTTACTCTTTTACAACAAGAAAATGAAAGACAAAAAATGTGAGTATCCCTATCATTCTTCTACAGATTGTGAATCCATAGTAATTATAGATTTAATTTAAGAGATTAAAAACCAGACTGATAAATGAAGGGGATGAGCTTTCTGAAAACAAGCAATTCTTACAATTACTAACTGAAAGAAAATCCATTTTTAATTTGCTTATTTTGTGCTGCTGGCTACATTAAAGAATTCAGTCACTTTTAGTATTCATCTCACACTGACACAGCTCTGTCTTTGTTTCTTTTGCATCATCTATAAAATTGGGGCGTTTAAATGATTTTATGCTTCTTGGAATGGCTACAGAAATATTAAGCACACAGGGTGCTTTCAATTATCAGGCCCTAGAGAATTCTTCAGTTCTATACAATCAATGAGGTATCCCAAATCAGCAAATATGACTTTGATCTTGGTTTGGTTGCAGGTTTTTTGTTGCTTTGGTGTTTTATTTTTTTTTTCCTTTCCAAAATGCTGTTTGCTTCACAAAGGATATTGAAATTGTAGATCCATTCATGAACATGCTTATTGGGTGTTACAGTAACACACAATAAAAAAAAAGTGCAGAAGAATATTTATTTATCTTACTGCTTGCTTTAGGGCAGCACCCAGTCTCCAACAAAGGCCCCACACCCTCTGGACAAGGCACTACACACATATAATGCAACTAAAAATATTAAAGCTATCTGAAGTAGCAAATACAGTTTCTTAGAGTCAGCTGGCAAATTAAGCCATTTCTTTTTCAGTACAATACTTCAAGTTTTCCTCTCATGCTTCAAAAAATACTGATAAAGAACTGCATGTTTATTTCAGATAGCTAAAGGGCATTTGCACTGGAAGGACCTAAAAAAGGTAATTCAAATAGATCGAGCATTCCTCTTCCCAGCATTTAACACAGAAAGCAAGGATGGACAGAGGATGTGCCAGGGTGCAGGAAGTTTTAAAATCTGAAGGCCTGGAATATGCACACACACCTTTTTAAAAGACTTTGAAGTCCAAGTTAAAACCAAATTTACTAGGTCTATTTAAATTTTCTTTTTTACTTTCTACAACTCTGCTTCTCAACAATTTAGAGAAAACTCTATCTGTAGTGCCCTCATCTATAGTTTTACTGCAATATTACCTCTGTGGCATCTTGGCTCCTACTTTTCCCCTTGTTATTACTCTCTTTGACTTGGCAAAAATCTTTCCGCCACAATGTAGAACAGCACTACCCCATCTTCCTCCCCAGCCCTCCCCCTGATGGACCTGTTTTGTGAGGTTTCCAAAACACCACAACCTGGCAGCGGTAGGAGCTGGCAGACCTTCATTTCTACAGTGCCCAGGAGAGGCTGAACACATCAGTGTTGCCCATCAGCGTTACACCTCACCCAGTGAGGTCTGATCTCTCATTTGTGACTTTAATGATTATTACCCTGATTTTAATTGTTATTGAAAATTACAAAAATAAAGGCAGCTTCCTCTTATCTATCACTGTCACACTGAGCATCACAGTCCAGAGGGTTAATTTTGCCTTCTTAAACTGGGATGTTTTCATCCTGTGCAGAGCATTCATTACAAGTAATTGTTTAGTGACTTATTATTCCATTTTAGTAAACACTGATATACCAACAACTAAGAATTCAGCTTTTAATGAGATGTTCATTTATCATATCAGAGAGCAGAATACTATTTTGCTTCCTACCGTTACCCATTCTGCTTGAAATAAGTATTTTATGTGTTTATTTGACTATGGTTTCCTTGGCATTTCTTGTTGACTGAATGTTGACAGTTACTGTGGAAGCAGTTTATCCTAACTTTAATAGTGACTACTTTTTAAATGTATTTATTTTGCAAACGTCATGTCTAACTTGTCACAAACTTTGAAGTATATTTAATATGAAGGAACCTACTGGGAGCCAGGCTTCAACCTGACTGATGAATGCATGAGTGCACTGGCTTATACTTTATTTGTTTTGTGGGAAACCCTCTGGACTTTAACAGTCTTTCATTTTGTCTTTTGTGGAGGAATTAAAACTTGCACACCAGGCAACATTTTCTGCTTACAGCTAGGAAGACAGAATTGGCATACAGGAATAATCTCTTATTTGGAAAAACTAGTCTATATTTTTTTACCATGACATTTGACATTTACTTTATATGCACAGAATTATGGCTCATAAATTTGGGAAAGCTCGTTGATCTCTAGAGTGACAATTTAGGACAGCTACCATGCTCTTTAACTTTGAAAGGGAAATGATTATTCCAGGATTCTTATGTATTTCCACTTTGTCTCACATAAGCACTTGTCTCTCTTCTCTGATCCAGGAGGTGCATTATTTACATGCTAATAATCAAAATAACTCCTGAAAACTGCATCTCTGTTCTACTTTCTAGGCCCAACACAGGCAACTCCATACTAGAAAGGTTGCTTTGCACCCTGGTTTTAAAACTATTGGTTCCATATCAAAACCACTTCTCTATAAACTATTACTTCAAGCATTCAATGGCTCTTTACCATGAATGCTTCAGCTTTCAGTTTGTAAACAAACCTAGATGAGATGGAAATGGTGACGGGCAACCGCACTGCACTGTCAGGAGACAGGAAGAGAAAAACTAGCTAAAAATAGCAGTGCCTCCAAGCCACGTTTCAAAATATCAATACAGTTTGTTAGTAGCAAGCATCCACAGTTACTTTGTCTATGACACTTTTCAAGCACAAAATGGTCTATATCTGTCCTGTTCAGAATAAAAATTCTTACCCTTAGTGATGGTTCAAATGCTGTTTATTTACAAATAAATATTTATATATATTTGAGATACTCAGCCATGTTGATAATTTCATTTAAAATTTCCATCCACACACTCTTGATCAAATAAACTGAAATCCCAGTTTCTAGGCAGCTCAGCAGAAGAGATGACTGGTAGCATATAAAATACAATTTACTCTGAATGTCAACTGCAGAGAGAGTGACTGTCATACACCACTAACATTATAGTTTCATGCAGTAGTACATTGGGATTTCCAAACAACAGGTTTTAGCTTTCACCAGTATTTTTTCTATATTGAATACTCACAGTTAAAAGTGTTCATTAAAATAATTCAAAAAAACTCAAACCAGCAATATTTTCAAATCAAAACTTTACAGTTTTCTTGGTTTTAAACCACACAAACCATTAGGGAGGTTACTAATTAGATTGTATTAACAATGACATCAAACACCTGTAAAGTTCATGCTTTTATACACACAATAAATCTGACCAGCTCACACCCACTCTGAAGAATATATGGCTTGACTATAAAGAAAATTTAATATTTAAAGACATCATTATATTTTCATCACACTACTTTTTTTTTTTTGTGTACATGAAGTCCACAAAAGCCTTCCCTAAAACAAAAAAAAAAAAATGTTTTTATGTATGAATCCATTACTCAGATGAAAAAATTTAAAGTGTTTTAGAAATCCATTCTAGCCACCAAAATTTTCACATATCCAACAGGGTGGAAAGGAATAAATGCCAGTGAATGCAATTACCCCTGTATTTCTTTAACCTTCCCATATTTAATTTCTCCTTCCCAGGACCCAATAATTATATTACTTGAGTGACTATACAGTCAGTCACACAGAGCTAGCATGCAGGCCACAAATCTAAGTGTGTTCTAGGGATGCCTTGCAGGTAAAGCAGCTATTTACAAACTGCATCTCAAAAGCTATACAATGAGTCACCTGAATACAGGACTCTAGTGATGGAAACCCAATTCCTAAAAGAGAAAAATAACTTTGTTTTGACCTCAAATTGTATTAGCTATAAACAAACTTAGCAGCATGGACTTCACAAAAACATTAGAATAAATTGAGCCTTAGCATAGTGAAATATTTAGGGCTGAGCTGATTACTGACTTCTGCTCAGCGGTGTAATAGGCTAATGTCCCACCTTCCTATGTGAAATAAATATGACTCAGTGTAAGTTGATTAGTAATAATTACAAGCCAGATATTCTTCTACCTCCTGAACAGCAGGAGACCTGTAATATCAATTGCAGCTTTCCTGTGCAGTAATGATTCATACACGATATACGCAAGTTGTCTGCATGGCCAACAGATTCTACAATTCATCCAAAAAATCATGTAGACAGATTAATTTCCAAATTTTAATAGGAGTTTAAACCTACAGGATACCTGCTGAATTACGAAGTCCAGCAGAGCAAGTCAGAGACATCATAATAGAATTTCTTTCTTTAAATCTCAATTTAGTAAGTTTTTTTTTTAATCCAACCACCATTTGAATTGCTAAGTTTGTCTTGAAGCTCAGTTGTACTTCAAACATCAATTTATTCATGAGTTGATTTGAGGAAAAGACAGGGAAATTTATTACAACTCTGTCTGTTAGAGAGAGAAAGAAATACAAAATGAGGGTGTTTAGGCACTGGGACAGGTTGCCCAGAACTTGTGCACTCTCCACATTTGGTGATAGTCACAGCTTCATGGGACAAGACCTTAAGCAACCTGATCTAACTCAAAATTAGCCCTGTTTTGAGCAAGAAAGTTGGATAATCAGGGCTTCATTTATAGGTAAATATATATATCTTCACCTTCCAGATGACTTAAACCCTTAAGCTATATGCACCTTTCCTGTAGGAATGTCATTACTTGGTCTTGTTTTCAATTAACAGTTACAACAGCTGTCCTACACATTTTAAATAAAAACTTAAATTCTTAGATCTTAAATCTAGATAAGAAAGAAAAAAAGAAAATACATGTGAGAAAAGGTTTCAGGCTTCAGTTAGGAGTGGATTATTTCACAGATCTACCATTTTATTTTCTGGCTCCGCCACAGTAAGGTTGTAGCATAAGAGAAAATACAACAAGAGTACATCTTTCCTCAGTGAAAACTTTGGATTCTCACTTTTACCACACGAAAGAAAAGCTTTGAAAAAGGACCTAAGAGCAGCCAATGACAAATTATTAGCCATGCCTACAAAATATTTCAAACAGTTCCACGTTTCTTTGGAAGGAGATAAACAAATATAACAGGTCTTCTTTTGCAACCTATGTCAGTCAGTGCAACCAAAATGTGTTTCAATGTTAAATATCAGTTTTTAGAATATCTTAAAGATGCAAATATATTACCCATGGTTGTGAATTATTCATATTTTACCCTATTATTTCTGTTAAAATGGAGTCAGCTAAGTATTCAGAGCTATGCTTCAACAATAAACACATTAATACAGAAATATATACTAGCACAGGATTATTGTTCCCTACAGTAATTCTTCATCCTTAGTTTGGGACACTCCTTTGTCAAAAAGAACTCATGCATACATTAAGAAAATAGAGTAAGACTTCACTGAATATTTACGTGATTAGTGGGAATAATTTTACAGCTTAACACGTGTAAATACTAACAGTTGTCATGTGAGATGAATTGAAGAGATTGTAGCTAATATATATCTCCAAGACTAATATTCCTATCTTCATGAAAACCAAACCTTTCAGTATAAGTATCTAGAAAGGATCAGCACTAACTTGAAAGTATATTTTTCTTCATCTCACAGACTTAAACACTGCTGTACGCAAAATCACATCTATTTCACAATTATGTGGATGTGGGTAGTTCAGTGTTTGGCGTAGTGGTATCTGAGAGCTCTACAGGCAGCTTCAAGAGAGAATCATCTTACCCTTCCACAGAAATGGTCCGCTGCAAGCTCACTGTGGGTGGACGTGTTGCCGTGCTGTGCTGGGAATGACTGTGCGACCAAGGAAGAATAAAGAAAAACATTTGTTAAAGAAATAGAAGTTTCTTTTGTTCTTATTGTCTCTAGCAGTTTAGCTCATGGTAAAATACAAATAACAATCAGATTGTTTTACATATGCTCTAAAGCATTTTGACTTCAGTGATGCTCTTGTCTCCAAGAACAGGCTCAGCCTTGCGATCTCTTGTTTAATATCAGATTTTCTTCCTCATTGAGAGCAGAAAATGAAGAGAATAATTCCCCCTTTTCTTTCTTATTCTTTTTTTTAAATATTCATACTCACACAGTTCAGTGACTTAAAATAACTTAGATGCTAATTGTTCTACTAAGCATACTAACCATAAAACACAAAGCTAATTTCAGAGCAGAAGGTAAAACAGTAAATGATGTTATCAACCTAATTCTCAGTGTTTCTCAGACAGAATGCTTAGTAAAAGAGAACATGAGCTGCTTATAATTGCATCATAACATAACTTTGAATTTTACAAATTTCAATGAACACTCCCTGTTTCTACCAGGTTTTAATAACTTGAGTTTTTCTCCATGAAATTTTATCAATCTAAGACACAACATTTAGAAAAAGACATGATATTTTTCTCAGAAAAACACAGACTTCCTGAAAGAAAAATCTTTTTGATTGAAAATCTGAGGTCTATTGTTTTGTTGTCATGACTAAAGAACCTCAAAAATTCTATGTTACAGAAACCAAATAAATTCCACTGTATATGCTAACTTCAGTATTGTACTATTGTAGAATACTATTGTACCATTACTATTCACTTAAATATAAATCGATAACAACACAGCATCAGTCAGAGGCCGTTCTATGATAATAAACTGCATTCCTTAGCCAAGACAATATGTTAAAAAAAACCCCAAAAGCAGAAGCATCTGAGTGTATCTTCTGATTAGTTTAAATGGCCACATCACATAGTGAAGCTCTGTATTAATAATGCAAAGTACACATTAAAAATAAACCCTTAGCTCCATTTTTTATCACTAATTCTACTAACTGCAGATTTTGCTTCGCTTTCAAGCTTTGTATAGAACTCAAGCTGTTTGCTCAGAAGCAGCACACTGTACTTTCATCAAAATCTCAGGCATTCAATATTAGTGAGCAGCACACCTATTTTACATGTATTTTATCCTGTAGCACAGCCAATAGTGTCTGTCTGGTAGAAGAGGTGTGATTTTTTTGTGTAACACGTGCAGTTGTGGCACATTATATCATGCTACAGGGCAAAAAAAAAGACCTGCTACCTGCTGGTTGTTTCCTGTTGTAACCATTGTGCTCTTGTTTCATGTGAGCAAACTGCTGTACTCATCCTCACTCTGAGTATTCCAGAAGGTTTGTGGGAAAGTATATCCCCCTTATAAGAAGAACTACAGAATAGTCGAGTTGGAAAAACATTGCAGAATAGTGTTTTGTGAATGTTGGTTAAAACTTCACATTAAGTTTACATCTAGCAAATGACTTAAGACGTGCATTTTTAAATTACCCTTTTCTTAGTGTTTCTGCATTTTTAAAAAATGCAGAAATGTGGGCTGTGGCTTGTCTTCTGTCCCTCTCCCTGTACAGAGCTGGGAGGGAACATACACCCTGTGTCCCTGTACTGGCTTCCCACACAAAATTAATATGGAACAGAACAGCCCATCTCCTGAATTTCCCCCCTGTATCTATAAGACAGAAGTGGCACAGCAGAATCGTAACTCCTTCATCTTTTCCCTGTGCAGCTTGGTTCTCAGCAACTTTATTCCCTGAAGTTGCATCAAGAGATGCAAAAATATGGCTGGTACAAGGAGCAAGAACCCAGCAGAGAGGGGGGATGATGATGTATGTCATGGCCCTCTAAGTCACGCTGTATGTCAAGGTCTCTTTCAAAGGGAATGATGGCAAAGCTGCACCTGATCCATACTGCCAGTGCCAAACCCACAATGGGGATATTAAACAAGCAGCCATATTCTTGCAAAAGATGCTACATATTTTTTGGGGAAAAAAAAAATAATTCTATTAATAAGGCATTGTAAGGTAGAAACTGAAGTTTTCATGCAGGTTTTGGCTTTATTTTACAAATGTTGTGCAATTATCTGTATTCCAAAGGAATATTGTTATAGGAAAGGGAAGCTGAGGAATTACAACTGATATGGCACTTTGCCTTAACGCATTTGATCCACCTCTCCCTGTTCCAAGATCTGCTCCTTACTAGACCCATGGCATACTACTACCACCAGAGCCATACTATCTACATCCAAACACAACTAGACGAACTAGCTTGAATTCTCCAAGCTTTGTTTCCTTTCTCAGAAAAGACTTCAGGATCGCCCTATTTATACTACAGCAAACATAGTTATATAACTCTGGCCAGCTTCAAAATGAGCAAAATTCTGAGAGCATTGAAGGTAGGAGTAGCTGCTAAGTACTAAAACTGAATATTTTTCTATTTTTTTACAGAATTAGTAACTGAAGGTAGTCATAAAACCATATTGAATAGTAAGCATTCTGTTGTGACTTGGGATGCAACTGCGTTTGGATGTTTCAAATAAATAAATGGAATATGTTCACCAAAGTAATTTATAGAATCGTAGGTTATTGCTCCTGCACTGAAAGATTCAAAACAAGGAAAGGAATCAGCCTGATCACTGTAACAGACTCTCAGTCCTCACAGTGATGCTGCATTTTACTGACAAATTCAACTACCTCTGAGGATTAATAGTTAATCCAAGATACTTTGTGCAAAACCTGAAGGTTATAACCTACCTGTTAGATGACACTGTTTATAAATATTTTATGTAATGTATGAATTAATATCAAGGATTTGTCAGCATACTATTCATAATGACCTTCATAGAATTAGCAAAAACTTTTAGACTTTATAAAATGTTGCTGTTTGACCTCACAGACTTTTCTTTAACATGGAACAAGTCACCTTTCTGAACATAGACCTACCTAGATCTAAAGCTGGTATTGGCTGCACTCTCATAAATTTATTATTGTATTTCACTATTCATGTATGTTAACAAAACCTAGACATCTTTTTATAAATGCAAATTATTAGTGTTTAAAATGTATGATTCCTATTTAGAAAAGTTGGTGAAAATGTTATTTATGAACTTTCTAAGGGAAATTGTTGTTGAAACACAACTGAAATGAGAGCAAACCACATTTCCAGGAGCAACTAGGAGCACTAGGTTCCTTGATTTTCGGTGTCCAGGCTAAAACTCTTAGAAAATCAGATGTGTGACATCTCAGCAGAAGAGCAAGGTACCCAGAACTCATTAATTGCTCTACTCAGCCTCTTGAGAATTTGTGCCATACCACCACATCTGCTTGATAGTTTCCCTCACACAGTATTGTTATGGCTGGGGTAAGAAGCAGCAAATCAACAAAAGGACTATCCAGATGGGTTGGAAAACAAAGAATAATCAGAGGGAAGAGCAGGTTCTTGGGAAAATTAAACATGTTTCAATGATGAAGTGAAAAAAAAAAAACAAACCCAAGACTAGGATGGCAATATTATTTTCTGTTATATCAGATGTTCTATTCAGTATTGTAATCCCATAACAGGTATGAATTAAAGCAGTATTTTCCTGAAATTACCAAACCACTCAAGCACTAGATGTCATCAGTATCCCTCACTTGAATGACTACATCACTATGCAAAGCTGTGCAAGGAATCTTACAGCTCACTCCTTCCAAGGGGTTCCAAGGGGTTTAGCTAATGGCAATATTCCACTCACCAGAAACTCTTTCTAATCTCAGTTATTTGTGACATAGAGTTCAAATGAGTCCTTAGCTTTTTTTCATTAAAATAATTTGTAACTGGTGATAGGAAAACTCATTTCTTGTACATAATTATAAAAATCAAGTTTGATGCTCAGAACAAGCTTATGCCTTCGAAGGTATCGTCATGAATACATGACAGCTAAAAATAAATATGCAGTTTAATCACTGCTAGACAAAAGTGGTTGTCCAGCTGGAGAGAGACGCAACAGTCTGATTCCTAACTGACTTATTTAAAAGATAAAGCTCCTGCTGGCTTCTGTCAAGGTGATGGATCCAGCAGAAAGAAGTCATCTACATTATACGCTTAATATACTTATGCATGTGCCGTGTGTTTTGTAGCACAAAAGAAAATAAAACTTTTGGGTTCCTGAAACCAGCATGTTCTATGATGAATGCCTAAACATAGACACTTATATCTTTATTGAGATAGATAGGTAAATAGGTTATTTTTATACTCACAGATTAATGTATTCAAAGTTTGACCTTTAGGCTTATAAAAATGCTACCCTTTCTCTGAAATGATGCAGAATAAACATCTCATTTTTTTTAATAATAAAGTAATAATATTTCAATATACTACTCAGTACTCCAGGCACACAAGATGGACTTTCTCTGAAGAAATGAATCTCACATGCCATAACGTACCAGTTTTTATTTAATTCAATTTAATTTTAGTTTGAGACAAGTGGAACATGTTATTCCTGTAAGATAATTCATATGAGTGAAGGAATAAAGAATGAGATTCTAAGTGAATAAGGGGAAAAATAGGGAGCAAAGGATCACTCTTTTTTTATTTGGTTTATATGTTTTTTTGTTTTAAATCTGTTTCTTAGGCAAGGCCTGTCATTTCATGGCTCTTTAAAAATAGAGCACCATGGTGTGAACATATTTTTAAATTATTATTATGAAAATAACAACATCAATGAGTATCATAATGACAAGAAGTGGCCAGACTCCTTAGTTTTAATCCTAGTCTACCCTTCAAAGGATGTTTTGAAGGCACTTCTGCTATGCAAGTGATGCTGAAACTGGAGGCAGCATCACAAACTCTTAGGGGCACAGGCTGGATAGAGACCTCCTTGAACACTGGCTTTGGATCAGCATTCTTTAGGTCTCAGTTCTGAAAATGCGATGCAGAAGAAAAGTATACAAGCTGCATTTGTCCATCAATAGATTCTGTACAGCAAAACAAACAAACAAAAACAAACAA